GACCGCCGTCTCGAGAACGAGGTGGGGGACCTGAAGCGGGAGCAGTTCGCCGCGGGCGAGCGTCTGCACACGGCGCGGCAGTTGCAGGAGGAACTCATCGCGGAGATCAGCGGCGGGCAGGCGCAGGGGCGCAACCTCCGGGCAAAGATTAGTCAGACCGACAGCGAGGCCTTCGCTCAACAGCAGGTGCTGTACAACATTGAGTTCAACGTGCAGCAGATGCAGCGCAAGGTGAACCGCGCCAAGGGGGAGCGAACGGAGGACGAACGCAGCAAGCTGCAGGAGAAGATTGACGCACTCCAGAGCACGCTCGAGGACCTGACAAAGCAGCAGCGGGCACTAGACACGCAAGTGAAGCGCGTGCGCGAGGAGACAAGACAAGCGAACGTCGCGGTGGAAAAGCTCTCTGCTGAAAAGCGCAGCACCACTGAAAAGACCCTGCAACTCACTCTTGCGTGCGATAGCTGTGCGGCGGAGCTGCGTAAGCTGCGCAAGGCGAAGGATGACCAGCTGGTGCAGGTCGACACGCAGGAGCTGCAGCTGCAGGGGCTGAAGCGGACACTGCACCAGCGCAGCGGCGAGCTCTGTGATCTGGAGGAGAAGAAGCGCCAGCTTTCAATGGACGTGGCGGAGCGGGTGGCAGAGATCGCCGTGCACCATGATATCCTCAAGATGGAGTCGAAGCTCGTGGAGGCGGAGCGGCGCCGCCTTGTCTCGGAGCTGCAGGACCGGACGAAGGCTCTCGACGCGCTGCGCAACCGCTACGACGTGCGCGTGGGCCGCATGGACCCGGAACAGGCGCGCTGGACGCAGGCGCAGCTCGTGATGGAGGCGGCGCGGGAGCGCGAGGACCTGCANCACAGGGGTGACGCGATGGATGCACGTGTGGCGCGTCTGGAGCGCGAGCTGCTGAAGCTGGAGCGCACGCTGCACGTCATCCGGGCGAGCAACTCGAACTACCGCCACATGTTCGACCGGGTGCACGAGGATCACGACGAGGCCAAGACGAGGCGGGCGCTGCTGGCGAAGCAACGCGACCTGAAGGCGGCCATCAGCCGGCGCGCGCTGGAGACCAGCAACTACCAGCAGGTGCTGCACGGCAAGACAAATGAGCTCCAGCAGGCGCTCGCGCGGAAGGAGCGTGCAGGCGGTGCCGTGGAGGACCTGCGCCAGACATACACGCAAGCCAATGAGGCTATCCTGCAAAACCGTGAGGCACTCATCCGCTACGAACAAGCACTTGCGAAGGCCCACAATAACGTTTCGTCGGATATTGCTGCAGATGTGGCGCTTCAGGAACGGCGACAGCGCTACGAGGCGGCGGTGGGACGAGTAATGCAGCTGGCGCAGCGACACAGCGAGGCGGCGGGCGAAAGCGTCCGCGCCCTTCTGATGGAACGGCGCGGGGGGTCGTGACGCTACTGCCTTGCTTGAGATGTATGATCATTTATGCTTCAGCTCTGCTGAAGGATTCACTGCGGGCTTATCCCATGCCTCTGAGCTGCAACTCAATTGCCTGTAATCTCCGCTTCTTCCTGGCCTGCAAATGAAGCATCGATAGGCAAAAGAAAAGGCTCGACATCATGCCCATGGGCGAGACGGCACTGCTTTGCCCATGAATAGTGCCCCACACATTTTCATGTCTCACCGCCACTTGACATGTGGCGCGATGTTGGACACCGAGAAGATACGCTGTTAGTGCTGGCAATCCTCTCTCTCTCCTCGTTCGCTTGTGTACACGTGCCTCGATTTGCGGCTAATCCCTGTTTCATTTCCCTGCACGTTTTAGGTGGCTTTGTGGAGGAACACAAGGACGCCTTGCTCTTTGTTCCCGCGACGTGAGATGTTTGCTGTCTTGCTGTCGTGTCGATCATCACCCAACGAAGAAGATCCTGCCTGGATGTTGAGGCTGCTGTGGTGGTGGCGAGCTTCGATGTGCTGCTGATGTATTGCCTTTCTTTAGGAATTCGGCCTGCCCGCCGCCATGTGACATTGTTGTTTGGTGTGCTGCAGCGTATTCCGCGTGGTGTGATTGAGTTGCAACTGCTGGCCTTGGAGAGACAGCGGCTTTGCTTCACCCCACGTGAGAGCGGCATGGGCGTGTT